CTCTCTCTCTCTCTCTCTCTCTCTCTGAAAAAAAAAGAAAAGTTTTAGGGTTGAATCTCAAGAAAATTTATCTTTTTGCCCTTACCTGGATTTACCTCAAGACCACCCGGGCATTCTCGCCAATCAGAAGAATATCACATTGTTTCCTGTACAGTTACCAGTTTCCTCTTCTTCTCCCTGTATTTTTTGTTTGCTTTCATTTTCGTTCTACTAAATAGTGACATTTATTTAAACTTTGCCCTTTTCAGAGTAAATGAGAACAAATTTCACTCCCAGGAAATCCCCCAAGTGAACATTTCATAAAAATAATTGAAAACACATTTTCCCATACTACCAGTGAGATGAACAAGCCTTGGGACAGTACCATCAGATACCAATTTCATCAGAATTTCATCCCAAGCTTCTAGAAAAATAATAATATTGATTCAGTCCAGCTCTTAAGTGAAAATATTTCAGAAATTGCAATTACAGGGTAAAAACGGACCTAAATGTTTCAACACGTGGACCTCCTAAGCAACGGCATATTTAAAAAAATAAAAATAAATGAAAATTTTTTAAAAAAATACTTATTTATCTGCATTGCCCCCAGAGTCTTCACCAGCTAATCAGCTTCCACAGCAATTTGCAGGCGGGTCCTGAAAGGTCAGCAATAGCGGTGTGCAGACCGAAAGCTCCTGTCACTGGGCAGAGCCTCCAGCACTGTCTATAATAACTTCTATATTCAGACAAAATGAAATTTGACATGAAAAACTGACTTAGTTCCATTGACCTTTGAGTCAAGCAGAGAGGCTCCACTCTTAGGCAGACAGAACTTCAACCTTCTATTTATAAATATTCACAATGTCTCATAAATTTCAATTTTCCTGAACTGTTACTAAAGCAAGATTCCTTGTTAATGACTGTTGCCAGGAAATTTTTATTTTGTATTTGTGAACTCAATTTCTGTACTGTTACATAATCAGACAAGAAGTGTTATATCAGAGTTCCCGTAACCTTTCTGAGGCATTTAACAGCATGTCCTCGCACACCGATTTCCATGTTGGAACAATTTCACAAGAAAAGCATTCACAACAGGAATAAAAAATAATCTTTGCTCTATGCAATATAATCAAGTGAAGGAATAATATTCACTTAAACCCCCTAATCTCTTCCTTCTTACAGAGGTCTCTGGGATTCTAAACATGAAATTTTAGATCTTCATAAAGTCAAGAGTATAAACAAACCTCCGAACAAATTAATTTCACTCAGAAACCCATTCATTTGAAATTGAGAATACAAAAAATTAAGTTCCTCCCACCTCCCTTTCTGACCCCTTTCCCCAATTTATGAGTGTATACATTGTTTTACTTTCTTTTCCAAAAAAAAAAAATCACTATTACAAAGACTGAGCCCAGGGGCTTTCTAGAACTGAGCTACATCCCCAATCCTTTTTCATATTTTTTTATGTTGAAACAGAGTCTTGCTAAGTTGCTGAGGGTCTCCCTAAATGGCTGAGGCTGTCCTGGAACTTGGGTTCCTTCTGCCTGGGCCTCTCAAGTGGATGGGATTAAGGTGTGTACTGCCATACCAGGCTTATTAAACCTTATTTTAAAGATATAAAATAGGCATTGAAAACTGAGCCAGTCACTTGTAAGCATGTGACAGTGTAGTCAGTAAATGTCATCATGAGGTGGCAATATCTTGCACACCAGGACATGCTAAACCAAGTGAGTTCAGCCCAGTGGCTCCTTCATGGATGGTTCCCATGGAGCTAATCCCAGCTTCTGGCACTCGCTGTTAGTGACCAGAGCTTCTTACCAATAAGAAGCTCCGTGAAACACTCAGGTTCATTCTGATCAGAAACACCGGTCACCATGCCCACTCACTGTAGAACTTAGGAGAAACTTTCTTTCAATTGTGCTATTCATGTCCCAGGACAGTTACTTAACACATATATTTTTCCTTTGAATGTACCTTCTCTGTCACATTTTGTTTTGTTGTGACAAAATCTTTTTCATTGCTTTTGAAATAGTTGGTTGTTTTTCCTTTTAATATTGTCTCTGCTCCAAGGCTTATCTAGAAATTTATTTGCCTTAATATCAAAAGAAAAGAGACAATTTTCATCTTTCATTGTTAATTTTTAGTTATTGGATTATGATCAGAGACTATACTTCGAAGAGCTCTTCTTTTTAAATTTTTGTTAAGATTTACTTTGAGGCCAAGTAGATGATCATAATTAATTTTATTTGAAGCTATGAATTCATCATCTTTGATCATATCATTAAATTCTTCTTTGTCCTTGTTTCCTTCTATTAGACCTGTCACATTCTTTAAAAGGACAATTGAAATCTTCCACTAATTTCATCAAGTTTTCTAGCAAATTGCTTTCATTTCATTTATTTAGTGGCAATATGTTGGCGTATGTGTTTTATTGTATCTCTTCATAAAGTCTTTTTAGTATTAGATAATATTCAAGAGATCATCCATTTCTTCTTGATTGTCATCATTGTATAATATCCTTCATCATCCTGTGTGGCACAGCTTGCTATTTCCCCTCAATGACCAGTTTGTTTTCTCCCCGTCCTTTATTCTGCCCCCAAATAATGTCTATATTTCCCAGACTTTGCAGCTAGATATGGCCACTAACTAAATTCTGGTTGACAGAATCCAAGCGTAAATATCATGTGGCCATTTTTGGAAATCTCTCTTAAACTCTGCATGCAGACTCTGCGGTCTCCCCTTTCTTCTCCTTCCTTGATGGAGTTGGTCATCTGAGAGTCAACCACCTCCACTTGGCCTGTGCCCAGTTATTCTTCTTCAGTGAGAGCCCCTTGGCAGGCATATCGTTCTCATTTCCTAGCTACCTTCTATGAACTCCTCTAAGGAAGCCAAGTAGTTTCAGATATTTTTAGATAACAGCATTTTAAAAGACTATAGCGTCATTCCTACACTGCTGTGTCTGAAACACGTTGGAGTCGATCACTTTGGAAAGCCAGATCCTCTCAGAGTTCCAGATGGAAAGCAGGTAATGATCATCATTACTAGTTCAGGGCTTTAGACTCAGGATTCATGGTAATAACTGCCCCGAAACCTCAGGCTTTGCTCTTCATAAAGCAAATTTTCAAAAAGAAAAATTATCAGGTACTTAATTCTCATGATTCAAAAATACTGTCATCTGAAATATATTTTCTCATCTTAAGACTTTTAAAGTTCATTTGAAATAGAAAACCAATGCTTGATGCTTTGGTCTCATTGGATTCTTTTGTAATCCCCCTTTCCTGGATCTATTAGATTCAGTCCAAGAATTTATGGCAAAAAGACTACAGGGGGGAAATAATTGAAAAGAAGAAAAATGTGATATTTGAAACTCTTATTCCACTGCATTTAGAATCTGAGATTCTAATAATATAATATTGTGAATACCATACTGAGTATCAAAAGGAATTCCTTGATGTTCAGACATTCTGTGGTGAACACTGCCTTAAGGTAAGTTTCAAAATGTACTTAAGCCTTACTTTTCTTGTCAGAAACGTGAAAAAAAATGATACTTGCCAAAGTTTTTACAACATTTAAAATGGACTGATATATTTGTGAGTTCAATAGCACACATACCAGATCTTCTAGATCTTCCTTCCTTTATTGGAGGAAACCCAAAAAGACAAGAGAAGGAATGGGTGCATGGTTTTCCCATAGGCAGCCCACACATCATTATTCTGGGCCAGCACAAAGCAATCTAGCAGGGCTAATGTCAGAGCTTAAGAAAGAGATTACATTCTTGAGGCAGGGAAATTTTAAGCTGATTTATTGAGGAAGCACCATACCTTACCTGGCACAGGGGCTGGACTCCAAACTATGTGATTATAGCAATATGAAGGCAACCTGTGGCCTTCAGTCCTGATCTGCCACTTCTGCACTCTTCCAGAATTGATTGACTCAAGCTCTAGGCTGTAGCTCTATCAGGAGAACCAGTTTCTACTCTGAAGGTCAGCCTGCAGGGAATCAATCACCTTTCTCTCTCAGTGTGGGAACTTCACAAACACAGAGCCTGACAGGTAGCTGGTGTAAATGTAGAAAGAGAGTGTGTAGCCATGGGGACAAGATTTCCAGTTCCTTTGTAATGGAGGAAGTGTGTTTACCCTCAAGTAATTAATTATTCAGCAAGTGTTTGCTGAGCACCATGTACCAGGCTCTATTCTAGGCATTTGAGCTGTAACTCTAACAACATGCACAAAGACATCAGCTCTATGGAGATGGACTTAATGAGACTTAAAGTCAATAAATATACAGGATGTTAAAAGATATGGAGA